TATTTAATCTCCGGAGGTAGACTGTTCCTGTTCCACTTCTCATGTCTAGAGTTATCGTCTTGTTTTTACTTTATATGATACTCTTCAGTTACTGCTCACCCGTTTCCACTGAGTGCACACTGCCCGATCCATGGATTGAACTCACAACCATTATGTCACCAAATCTTACTTGGTTTATTTTAGGTTCTAAATTTCTCGATGTATTTTATAGATTCAAATGAATATTTTGAAACCGAACATTTTCCCCATCCCATTTCAAGCCGATTAACCACACTCCATCTAATATCTCTACTCCTTTACTCAGAAGTACTAAGTCACTCTGTACCTTAAGTAGGCAAACAATACTTCAAGAAATAATACAACTCAGTCAATGCCATTGCTCTGTTCCAATATAACTCCTGAAGCATTGTTTCCAAATTCTAGTAGCTAATTGTCGTATAGTTTCTTATCTAAGCCAAATTCACCCTTACAAACCACTCACGATACATGTTGCTGCCAACCGAAACATTTTCTTATGATAAGTCAGTTTATGTTGCTGTTTATCGAACTCAAATATTATATAGCTATTTTTTCTTAATTCAGTATAAAAGAATGCTGACTGTGGAACCATCAAAACCGATGAAAAAGATTCATACCTTTTCTCAAGGGGTATTAGCACGTAAATGAATGTAATAGATTCGGGTGGAATTCGAACTCTCCGATTCAGTTATGTGCCATGCGTGATACACGCATTGGACCGTGAATTGACGAAACAGCAACTAGCGAGAAGGTGAGATTTCCTTGTCAAAAAAAAAAAAAAAAGAGTTTACTTCCTCCAAAATTCTTCAGTAAAGTTTTCAGCTTGGTAGCGAACAAATAGCCTTGGAGAAAAAGCTGTGGTATGGGAGTTCTCTCACTCAGTATACCCTCCTTGCCACTGCATGTAGTCGGCAATATTTCTTTCAGACCCCATTGAGTTGTGCCATTTATTATTACCTTTCGCCTGGTGAAAAGATGGCTCTTATTCAAATACTGATCGAGAATTTTCGTTGACTATGCTCCCTTGGTAAATGTATGAATCCATATATTCTCCCTCACCCCTAGCTATGGATTAAATAGCAGGACTAGCTGGGTTCTCTTGCCTTTAAGTCGGAACTAGTCTTTGATATGGAAAACCAGACAAAAGCGGGATAACCTCCGTCAGACCATGCTACAGCACTAGATACACCACTGCTGCTATGGCTGCAATACGTATGAGGTCCCTACGACCCGAATGGCTTACCGAACTCGTGAAATAACGTAACGATCTACTACATCTGCATTAGTAAAAAAAATTTAATATATAAATTGATAATAACAATTCGAGAATTAATTTCATTAAATATTTTATTTTTACAATTAGCAATAATCAGTTTTGCATAAATATTTTAGCCCCAGTGAAATGATAAATTTGGCTGTATATTAGCTCATGACATTGACTAAAATTGAAATATTCACAACACGTTGCAATACTCGCTATCGTATTCTTCTTTTTAGATATCACGTTCTTTCAGGACGTATACAATCATGGCTCTCCACGGCGCCCTTTTCATTTGCTCTGCCATATATTTAAGTTCAGATAGTGGAGTGGTTTCCTGTTTCATTCTCCATGGTTTTGAATTCAGATTATTTCTTTTCTTAGAATATACGATCGCCTTAGTTAAGCAAAGTCGAGCCTGGTCAGTACCTAGATGAGTAACCGCTTGTGAATAACAGGTGCTGTAAGCTTGGGTGTGCGGATGGTGTAGTGAAGAATGTCGAAATTGTTAATCGGGGAGCCGAGTTTCAATTCTTATTAGCTTCGTTATATTCCAAAAATAATATTCTTACGATCAAAAAATATTTCTGGCTTTAAATAACCAGAAAAGGGTTGATAAGCCGTAGAAAATGAATCCAATAAAACAAAAGGTATGAATCCATCTCTTCTCTCCTCTTTCTATATGTTATAATATATTATTTGGAAGTTGATACTATAAGCTTGGATGTGTAGATGGTGTAATGAATAATGTCTCGGAATTGTAAATCGGAGAGCCTAGTTCCAATTTCAGTTGGGTTCGTTATATTCACTTATGCATAAATACCCTTTGGGTAAGGTATGAATCTACTTCTCTCCCAGATATGGGTTAATTAGTAAAACTTTATTACTAAATAATTATTATCTTAAAAATTCTTACAATCTAAAAATATTTTCTGGCTTTAAATAACCTGCAAAGGGTTGGTAAGCCGTAGAAAACGAATCAGTTTCTCAATTAAATATAATTAGAAATAATAAATTTTGTATAAGTATTTGAGCCCCAGTCGAATTATAAGTTGTATATTAGCCCATGACATTAAGTAAAATTAAATGATTTTCATATGCACTATAAGTTGTAATACTCAGTGATATATTCTCTTTTCAAATGTCATATTCCTTCAGGACATTATTACTCTCCACAGCGTCCTTTTCTTTGATCTGCCATATCCTTATAGACAGATGGTGGAGAGATTTCTCGTTTCCTTCTTCATGATTTTGAATTAGGATTATTCTTTCTCTTAGACTGGTTGTCATTCACAGCTGAAGTGCCCAGTTTACTCAATTTTTTAATGTTTAGCTTCATCTAATAAAACAGAAAAAGAAAATGAAAGAGAAAAACGAAAAATAGTAGAGCTTAACTGGTTGAGAAAACTATATTTCTTAGATGGTCAATGATTTATTGATTACACACGACATTTTATAAATCGCTTTTTGATCAATATATTTCATGTTAAAAAAATCATGTACTTAAAACAACAGCGACTCGAAATGTCGAAAGAAAGGATTTATAACAGAACGACAAAGACGGTGGCAACAAAATTTATCTCGGGACCATGTTGAAGCAAACAAAGATCCCTGAGTACCTAGCAAGAAAATAAATAAAACTACAGTCGAGAATAAAAGATCCCCGAAGTGACTAATGAAACAAAACTGTCACAAGAAACGGAGTTATAATGGAATTGACTAAACAGTTTATTAGTAGCTTCTGTTTAAATTGTGAGTTCTTAAAATGAATTATGAAATTTGAAAAGTATGGATTTGAAACACCTTTTCCATTTGATATCAAAAGTAAAGACAACCAAATGAATCTTTATAAAAATAAGTTATTACTAGGTTGTTTGGAAAATTCTACCAGATCAGAGAATCAAATTTGATTCCTGAATTAATGTATTTAAATAGTGTTTAAATCAGTCAAACTAGGAACCATGAATATCTAAACACTTCTTCCAAGTTTATTCACGCCTTCATGATAAAACTTGTAAAGGTTTAGATGTCAAGAAATCTTTTATTGTAGTTCATGCATCTTCTTTGCAACGGAATGTCTTTTGTTTTAAAACAATTTTCAAGATCCTTGAAAAAAAATGGTAGGCATTTGTTGATAGATCAGAGTATTAAGGTGGGTGTGGCCAAGTCTTGTATCCTATGTTGGTGAACTTCTGCAATGTAACAATGGCAACATATGGCCGAGCAATGCCACGAAATAGAATTAGACATCGTTGATGAAACAGTGCTAGTCTCATTGTGCATGTCATCCAGTTGCTGGCAGTGATGCTCTTGTTAGATTTCAAAAAGCTGTAATGGATAACGCCTAGCCGTCACTGTGATCTTCTGCTGGTGTAATTTTGGTTTCGGAAAGTGTTTGAGTCCCTCGTCATAAGCTATTGAGCCGACCGTTTCCGATTGTCATAAATGATCCGTTCCTCATAATATGTCACTTTTCTTTGTTTCATGAATTTGCTTGTAGTAAACTTCGACAGTGATGCTCTGGTTAGATTTCAAAATGCTGTCATGGATAATGCCAATGACTGATCATGAGACAGTCACCATAATCTTGTTGGTGTAATTTCGGTCTGACATACGTCCTTTGTCATAATCAAGCCATTAAGCTGGCCGTTTACGATTGTCATAAATGAACCGTTCCTCATAATTACTCACTGTTCGATCAAGAAATCGATCATTCGAATTTCAGAGATACAGTATCGAACAAATTTTAAAATGTCAAAGTCTTTGAATTTTAATGAGTCTGTGCCGAACCCATTTATGAAGTTTCTTCACTTTGCCATTTTTTTTAATGTTCTGGTAGTGTTGAAATGCTGCCACCCGTCATCTGAGATATTTCTCTGGTACTTTGACCTGGCTTTTGTTCGATTAGTGTTTTCAGATGTTGATTGTCAATTGCAAGTGGACGACCTCTACCACTTTAATCTTCAAGACTCGTATCTCCTCTGCAGAACCCCAGGAACCAGCGCCGTACTGTAATAACAACTGAATCCTTCATTCCATGATTTTTTTTAATGTTGCCAGTAGTTTGAGAAGTATTATGATCAAGCTTGAATTCATGCAAAAAAGTAAACGCATCTCTTTTTTATTTTCAGGATGAATGTTATATAATATTTAAAGTTATATTCTGAAATAAATTGATATAAAATTAACAAAGAGGACATTTTAATCGTTAGGAATAAATAATATATTTTTGTGCACTTATTATAATAATATATTAGAAAACAAAAGGTTTATTCTAAAATCGGACATTCTTTTCAGAACAACATCATATAAGAAAAGTAGTAAGGGAGATAATTTTGTAAACTGTTCAGTGGCTTCTTGTTAATTCTGAAACATCGTTATGTAATTTAACAAGAAGACACTTTTTAAGAAACGTTTTTTATTTAAAGTGAATTTAGCATTTTTCACTTCAAGTTAATTTTCTTCTCTATGAAAATTTTATTCATAAATCACACCCACTAATGATAAAGTTAATTTTTTTCGTAATCTGTATTTCTGTTTCAAGCAGATAAAAAACGGATTATGGTGTGTTACCATCGTTCGGATACCGTAATGTAACTATTTTTACACCTCAAAATCAGAAAAGTGTTTGCTCTAGATAAAGCAGTATCCGAAGAATGCGTAATTTTATTTGATGTAAAGAAATAATTTATTAATCGTTTTTTTTTATTTTTTCTTCTTACAAATGTTACAAATGCTTTCGAATTTTTTTACTTCATTTTTTATTTAATTTTAATAACGTTGTTTTTATTTTTTAAACAACTTTTCATCTGAATACTTATCCAGTCGATTCTGTTTTTGCCCCGCAAAATTTATTTTAAAATGTCATTGTCACATAAAATTAATTTCATATATTTCTTTATGATGTGGCTGTTCATAAAAACAAAAAACTGATGATAAAAAATTTATTTTTTTATGAGTAATTTGTGTTTTTCTTTCTAAAAGGTATTTAGCGACAAAAGCATGTTGAATTTCAATTTAGCTAACGATTAGAAAACATAAAATAGAAGTAAAAGTAAAATTTTTACGCTACAAAATTAATCAAAAAGTAATTTATTTAGAATATTGTTATATTCCGTGCTAATAGGAATATATACTTGAAAAACAAGGTGGATAAAATAAATAAAGGCTTATTGTAAAAAAAAACCAGTACAATAAGAATAAAGGTAACAGTTATGCACAAGGTCGTCGCAAGTCAATCCAGTAGTGAGTGCTACTATTAGAAGATCGGTAGTTCTCGCGTAAGTCCGAGTCGTATTCAACAGATCCCAGCTAGACAATATTTACCAGCTTCCCCACGAAGTAGGATGTGGCACAATGCAGAATTTGATGTGTGGTTGTCCGAGCCCGTAAGCTCGGCCAAAAATTTCCCGTAACCCCGCATAAACGAGTTCGGGTCTGTCTACCTCCCCGGACGAGACTGCCCTTCGACATAGACTCGTCCGGGTTGCTCTCTGCCCGAAGGCAGAGAGTTCGAGAACAGCTAATATCCGAGTAACAGATCCCAACTGGACGGTATCTAGCAACTACCCCACGCAGTCATATGTGACACAAGGCCGAATTTAATGTGGGATTTCCGAGCCCGTAGACTCGGCAAAAAATCCCCGTAGACCCCGCATAAAAGGGATCGGGTCGGTCTACATCCCAGAACGAGACTCCGCCTTTCGGCATAGCCTCGTCCGGCTTTCTCTCTGCCTTCAGGCAGAGGGTTTAACCGTATAGCTGAAAAGATTTCAACTAGAATATTTGCCAACCGCCCCACACGGTCGGATTTGACACAAGGCCGAATTTAATGATTGGGGTGTCCGAACCGTTATGGTCGGAAAAAATAAAATCGTAGACCCCGTAAAAATGTTTGTTAAGTTCGGAAAACCTCCCCAGACGAGACTTTACCCTTCGGCATAGCCCATGTCACTGGGATTTCTGTCCGAAGACAGAAATTCAAAATATTCTGAAAAAGATTTAAGTGTTAGGAAATATTTTTAATTTCTGAATTTCGCGGCCAGATTGGCAGAAGGCCGAAAAATATTTTTGGGGCCCGGAAAAAAAATTTTTTGGGTAGACCCGTAAAAAAAGGGGTCGGTAATATTATTTGCAGAAAACCTCACAAACGATTTTGGATGATTTTCCGCCTAATTTCGTCTAAGGGTTCCTTTCTTTCGGAAAGCATAGCTGTTTGACAATAGTTTTTAAAAAAGATTTCAAAATAAAATGTTTTGTCCGTTGACTTACCAGGATACTTACAATAGTTACAATAATACATAGTTAGTTACTCATGGTGGTTACCAGGTTATTTTCGATTACATCAATTATATAAGTTTAAAGTGAAGCATTTTGAAATTCTGGCCCTCAGTTGCACTATGAATAGGGCTGTAGTATAGAACGCCATGGCCTCGAGGCACTTACATCTGTTGCATTCCTTTTCTTTACTCTCGGTAGGTCTGGTCACGATCTTATTTTGACTTTTTGCTAAACTTATCAAACTATCTTAGATGTGGTTGACAAATAGAAAGTGTCGTTAGACTTCACGTGAACTTCGTGTGTAAGCGAAAGGACCGTTAAATGAGTGGAGAGATTAAGGGAAAAAAATAGAGAAAGAAAAAGTGAATGAAAAAAGAGAGAGTTTTGAACCATGAAGAGAGGGGGGAGGGCAGGAGGGGGGGAGAGAGGGGAAGAGATGGAGAGAGTTTAAAAAGAATATAAAGAGAATGACTCAGAGAGAAAGGGTTTAAAAGTGAATGTGAAAGGCAAAAATAGTTCCCGGATGTAACGGTTGATGATTGATACTGTCGGCTTAAAGGATCATAAATTATGTTGGGAGCGGCAAGAAGGAATTATTATTATTATTTCTTTTCAAAAGATCAAAAAGAAATAATGAAGAAAAGAGTTGAAGAGAAGCCAATCCATATAAAATTATGTCAACTGTCAAATGACGCACCATGTGGGACAATAATTAGTGAGATTGTTTGCCTATTACTAATGGGTTTCATCCTCACTGAGTTCCCAAAATTTATGCCCTTGTGCCAGATTTTATTTAACGTATTTGCCGGCCTATTGGACGCGTCCACGCATTAGACGCACCCAGATTTTAGCATGGAATATTTAAGAAAAAAGAAATACACACATCACAACCCCAAAATTAAAAAAGATAACCTTACCTTCATGTGGCCTTTTTACTAACCATAAAGAAACACAGTATTACCAAAAATTAATTTTTCTTTTGTTAATTTTATTTTTCCTCATTTTTGCTTCTTTTTCTTCGTTTCCTTCTTTCCCATACGGACTGCCATGAACTATTTCTATACTTGCTCATTATCAAATTCAAGTAATTATTAGCGGAACCTTTTTGGCTGATTAAGAGTTCAATCCCAAAAAAATAATTTTATACTTGTGGCCTTTTCAAATTTTGAGCGAATGATAACATAATTATTAATTTATTATATCAACAGAATCTTCCTTTTTTTAATTTATTTTACATTTTTATTTTTTTTCGATTAATATTTTTGACTATTCCAATTTTAATTTTCGGATTTAATTTTAAAATATTTGTCATTGTCTTGTTATATTTTAATTTTTCCCAGACAGTTAAGAATTTTTCCAATTTTTGTCATCACATTTTTAATTTTGATTCGACTTGAAGGCACATCTCAAATCAATTAGCGTCTTCAGCAACTTTAGGAATATCGCTTGCCTGTCCTTTCCAAACTCCCTGTTTTATGATAAAATACAAAAAAATACTTGTCTTCCAATGGTTGATTGGTTTTTTTTTTTACAGAGAAAAAAGGAATTTTATTGATAGTTCTTTTAATCCAACGCTAATTTGTTCATTGAATTTCTGAAAAATTCAGAGTCGTAATTTATTTATTTATTTTTTTACTGTTCGTTCAGTAGTGAATTACTTCCTTTATTATTATTATTATTATTTCCTTTGATTTTAGCGTTTAGTTTTTTCTTTCCGGGTTACCCAGGGACCTAAGGTTAGAAATGGCATCATGAATTATTTTCCATTTGAAAAAAAAAAAATGACATAGATAAAACCCTTCGTAAAGTGTGGGCTGTACTTTTCAGAACAATTTTTTGTATCTCATTGAGGCATGGACTTCCAGGAATCCCTTCAATTAGTCTTACTGCAATTTTTTCCAACCAGTCCTATGGATTCCAACTACAAAAAAAAGGGATTGTTGATGTTCTAATATTCCCACATTTTCGAGATTTCTATTTCAAGGTCCTTGTATTTTGACAGCTTTTTGAATTATTATTATTATTATTATTATTATTATTATCTCTCAAATATTTAGTTTAATAACAACAATAATAAAATGTTCTCATATATTTAATGATAATTTTATACTTTTATTCTTTTCTTATTTATTGATTCGTTTCTGTTATCGGCACTAAAGTAATAAGTCAAAGTGGTACATCTGATAACGAACTATTCACTACGACATCCAGTGTAAAATATATATTGATATATGGTCTCATTTGATTGTCATTTTAGAGAGGTTACTTTGTTCCAGTGATCCCAAGATCAAAGCCGTCTGGATTCCAATTCAACATTTGGGCTACCCATGGAGAAAAGGTAGGTCGAGGAGGCAAGATATCCTTAACTTAACGCGACCAACCCCCCAAAGAGCTTTTAACAATTAGAAACAGGCAAATATTTACATAATTGGTATCAATGGTTTAAGCCGGATAATTTTACTAGACAACTGCCAGTTTTATGGCTGACAGACCAACCATCCGACACTTTTGCAACCACGTTGCTTTTTCTCGTCTTCTCAGTCCTTTTTGAAAAATTAAAAATTTAAATAAATCAATCATTTCCTTCCACGGAGTTTGAGAAAAAAATCAAATTCATTGATGGTCTTACCAAACATGGAGTTTTTTCATATATTTTCTGCCAAAAGGCCGAAGGTGGAAGAAAGAGAAAATAGGAAAAGCATGAAGACAAATTGAAATAAAAAAAACCATTTTCATAATATTTATTGTCTACATTTCAATGCTATTAACTTAAAACTATTTATCTTTTATATTAATATCAATTATTTGATAGTGGAATTTTTGAGAGAATTTTATAAATTATCAACAGTGACGAGCGAATAATTGAGGATTTCAAATTTTTAGTTTTTTCTCACATCAAAAGGCAAACATAAAAAACCAGGAAATCCGGCTAAACCACTATATTTTTGTCCATTCCAACTTAATTTCCATTTGAATACTAATTATCCAATTAATTTGTCTTAAAATTATCCTGAAAAAATATCAGTTGAGTTAATAATTTTTACAATGCTTTGTATTTTTTTCAATAAAGTATTTCATCAGTGAATCCATTGCTGACTTCAAAAAAGAAAGATTTTTTTTTAAATAAGGTAAAAAGCCAATTGAATAATGCGAAAATGAAGATATTATTTGCAAGTATATATGCCTGTGAATAACTTTTTTGGAAAATGACATTAAATGAAAGCCGTTTTAAAATAAGGTTGGGTGATGACCATTTGAATGTTTTTGATCCTGTCATCGACAAATATTTCACCTGATGTCGAGAAGTTATCAAACAATAAACAGAAACAAGTGGCTCATTAAATAATTTGCACTTGCTAACTGTATTTCGTTTGTAGTAAGGAATTTGCATTTTTTTGTTGTTGTTTGTTTTAGTTGTCATCCTGTTATTTCTGCAGTAAAATAAGGAACATTGTTTAAATAATATAATAATTAATATATCAAAAAAATTTTTCTTTAAACCTCCATTAATAAGGCGCCCTTCTGGACGGAAAAAGAATTCAGAGGTTGAGGAAATTTATTATATTAAATTTGATAAAACGGTCCTCCTCCAATTGTTGAATATTTACAGCACTGCCCGCTATCTCAAAAGTTGGTGACCCATTTAAAGACCATCTCTTGATGGAATTTTCATATTTTTTGTTCTCTTATCGACATGACGGATTTATTCGATAAATTCATATCTTTTGGAACAGTTCAGTCTGAGCAAATGCTCATTAAAAACAAAGATACACCATTTTTTTTGGTTGAAATATAGCCGTTTGAGACAAAAAAGGTTGTTGTTCTGTAAGAGGGTGGCAATCAGTGGTGGCATCCTAAATTTCCAGGAACCAGTTCCATAAAGCAGGTAATCTATAGGAATTTATTCTGCTTATTTTCTTTTCAATCTGAGAATAGAAACAAATCACTTTATATAGTATCAAAAAGAATTAAACGATTTTTGATAATTTAATAGAAAACATTTATTAAGATATTTCCAGATTGAAATTCTGTTCTCATCATTTTTCTGTTCAGAAGTTTGATGCTTTTTCACTCAAATGTCATCAGGTATATTCATATTTTCTTAGCCACATTTGAACTGAATATTTAAGTCCCCAAAGATCCAATGGAAGATATATCAAATTTATAACTAGAAGATTAGCCATTTTTTTCACTTTTGAATTGAACGAAATTAAAGGTAACTTTCATTTTACATAGAATGGTTATTAATATATAAGATTATTGTCGGATAATCCAACAATTGGTTCGCTAAACTTTTATAATTTTATGAATCGGTTCGCGTGAACCGGTGGGATGTCACATCTAGTGGTAATGGTTGATTACCGTTTTATTGTATTACTGGACATAATAGTGTGGTAACTCCTGGTTCAAGATTTTTCTGCATGAGAATGCCTAATGACGATTTAAAGCGGAAAAACCTTCTGATGGTAAAACCTTTATATTCGATTAGAGGCACTTACGAAGTTTTTAATAAGAAGTTGACAACTTTTAGCGGTTGACAATCAGAGATGCCATCATCTACTCTGTCAACAAATAAGAAAAACAATCTTTTCCATAGATCTTCCGCTATCGGTGAAACGCTATTCGTCACTGGCTGAGTGCATCGACAAATCAATGAAGAAGACGAGAAAGACGAATAGAATACAAGGCGTTTCAGGTAGGCTATTCAATGTCCTTGAAAAAGGCAATAATTCAAATTTAGTCTAAAGAAATTATGTAAGAAATCTTTTCAATAAACGTAACGTTCCATTTAGAATTTATCACGTTTTATAAAACTCAACAAACAGGTTTGATACAAAGTGTTGCTTTTATCACTAAGGCCAGTGTTGCTAATAGATTGGATTAATTATCTTTATAACAGATAACATTTACAGCAAGAATGAATTGCCAAAGAGAAAAAAAAGGATTGTCAGTAGATACTCCCATAAAATATATAAAGATTTCGTTTATTTTCTTACATAACGACACTCGTATCTGTGTACTGTGTATGAATCTTCAAAGGTGACACATACAACGATAAGGTTTCGTATGCTGAAACTAGTCTAGTTCAAGCAAAAGATGCTCACATGTTACTTTTTAGCCGCTTAAGAAGAGGTCAGTTTTTAGATAAGGACTCCCCAAACTTTTTAAACCATGGTACTTTATATGAAATGCTTCATCTCTCACTGATGGTGATCGACGTTGCGTATAGCCGTTTCAGAAGGGAATCTCATTGTGTTTCTGTAAAGGATTTTCGTCCGGCTTTCCAACTTAACCCCTGAATATTGAATATCTAATTAATTTGTTGGTCAAATAGCAGAAAAATACCAGTTGGAGTTAATCGGCTTACAACGCGACGGATGTTTTAAACCAAA